TTCAGAACATTTCAACGGCAATTATTGAGTTTTTAAAAGGATTTTTAGGTGAAGAAACCTTATTTTCTGTTCAACTTTTTGCTAGTAAGAATATGAAATCAAGAGTGCATCTTATAAACATTTTACACATTTTTGTGTTCTATTCAATTCAGCGCACCAAACATGACAGATATTCAAAACCAAGTTCATTCCTCCTTTTTTCTATAAACAATCGAGATGTATGCCAATACATAAACTTGTTGCTTAGATTGGTTTATAAAGATAACATTTTAAATATTATGATTAAATTTCATTAAGGTGGTTGCTTGTTGTTTGACACGTTTCAACACGATCTAGCTTGGATTGGGACACTAAAATCTCAATCACCAAGCAAACATGTCAAGCCCCAACGACCAATATCAGCTACGGGGGGTCAACAAACAACTTATCACGGACGCGTCAGGCTACAGCACTATATTACTTCTGGTCATGGTGAATATATCCAAATGCTCAAACTAACCTGAGATATTTACCAAATCAAGGGAAAACCCATCAATTCCAGATCAAAAAATGGATACCGTAAGGCTCGATTTCCAAGCAATTACAAACTTCACAATAGGGAAAAACAAGGACCTGCATATACTAAGTACTTGGCTAGATACAAACTTGAAGAAACTATATCTGCATTTATACTTGAAATCTCTTTCCAGTCAATGAGAAAGCATACATGGTTGCTTATCAAGATTTCGAAGCTTCCCTAGAAACAATTTCCTGCTCAAGCTATTCAAATTGAGAAAAAAAAAACATTCAGAATAAGGAGGTGAACAAGATTGTAAACAATGGAACAAAAGTCAAAATCTTGGAATGAATAAGGATGCAATATAAAATTGTTTAGAAAATTGGAAGCACGGAAAATATATAGCCATGTTAGCAGCAAAAATTAGTCCATCCACGAAGGAGAGTGAAGAATGGATGGCCTAGATAAAAATTAATGTTCCACTTTCCAAGATTAGACAACAGGAGAAATTGATGTGCATATCCTAGAAAACTATTAAGATTCACTTTGATCACCAAAGGAAAAACAAAATCTTGACAAATCACAAATCTATAGTTTGAGATCTTCCCCATTCCCTCCTCCAAGATAGGTTTTAGATTGCTAGTCACCCTGACTAAGGGCAACATAATGCTAATAAATGCACCTGATTAATTCTGTTAAGTGCCTTCAAAACAAGGAGGTGTGGGATAGTACATACAACCACTGGAAGAACAGGCAAGTTTCAGAAATCATATTCGTGCAAAACACAATTACCCAATGAAGTAGGATGAAGAAATAGAAGGGCATAAAAATAAACAAAAGCAAATAGATGCCTTTATACAAACACAACTGTCCGGAGCCTCCAATGAAGTAGGATGAAGAAATAGAAGGGCATAAACATATACAAAAGCAAATAGATGCCTCTATACAACCATAGGCGTATGAAACAAAAATAAACCAAATGAAGTAGGATGAAGAAATAAAAAGGCATAAACATAAACAAAAGCAAATAGATGCCTCTCTACAATCCATTATTAATACTTAAAACCAGTGTGATCAAGATTTGAGGTACTAAAGGTAACAAAAAAATATTGTCCAAGGAGATTGGTAAGAGAAAATAAATAATTGGCATCATGTGTAGGACAACTACTTTTTAGACTTTTGGTTGATGATCTTAAACCATAAATACAAGCATCCAGACCCATGTAGAAGTGGATCTTGGTAGATTTTAGATCTACTTATTATACCACAATAACAGTATAGAGACTAATTTGTACTGACTCTGAGTAGAAAGTAGAAATCATGGCCATCTAATTAGAAGTAACTTTAAATTTCTTGAAAACTAAAATTACAAGTTTGGCAAACTGCAAATATCTGCCTTATCAATACAACTAAATGGTAACCGTATGAAAATTGTTAAATAAATAATGGAGAAATAGGAAATAATTGTATACTCCTCTACATTTACTGCTAGAATCTAAAATAGTAGCAGCATCACAAAAAACTATTTATTACATTTACAAATTTCTGGGCTACTACAAAACTTCCTTGCACAAAACATTTCAGCTTGAGACACGTACTCATTAAATAAATGGTCACCAAATATTTTGGATTCACATTATGCTGGAAATAAGTGCTTCACGAAGCATTATCTTAACAAACATCCCTGACTAACTTAATAGTTAGCATGATATATAGAATAAAGTACATAGTAAATTCCACATACACTATTTTTCTAGTCAAAGAAATTAGGACGAATTAGAATTACTGTAGAAATTTTAGGTCATGGCCTCGAAAATTAAGTTGCACTGCATTGTAAATGAACAATCGCATGTAATTTGTTTGCATTCTCTGTTTCCTCGTATGTTTATGTAGATTATCTTGTACTCTTGCATAAAACTCAACAGGAAGTCATTTAATAATAGATTCATTTGGAGGTGGTGTATGTACCACCACTAATGTTTTTACAAACAGATTGGAAAAACAATTCAACTTTGCGTCCAGTGCACCAAAAAACATCTCTTAGTGAATAACTAGAAATAAAAATATAGTTCCGGTTTCCATTTAACAAATTCTGGTTGCAGTTATAAATTCATGGTTTCAACAACGTGTCTAAAAAGCATTAACATAAGAAATTTCAAAAAGCTACATCATCAAAAGGTATTAACGCTTAATAGCATTTGGAAGGAACAGATTTTTATTTTGGCTTCACCATGAAGTTAATATTATAACTTCAATCAGCCAAAGTAACAGATATTCCATTTTCTTCAAGAAAATGGAAACAGTTGACATCAAGTTGCATTAAAGACAAACAAGCTCTACCTAGTTTCCGTATCTAAGAATTTACTACTATTACAGTTCCATTTTCTAATTGATATCTATCAACACTCACATACGTCACAACGCGCTTTATAGTAAACAAGGAGATTGGAAACAACATCATGGCTATTGGATAAGTAAACTGAAAATCAAAGCTAGAATAATGAGTTCACCACCTTTGTTCTTTTACAAAAGCGAGAGATGGCACAGCTGAATGTTAGAAGTCTAAAAAGTAATAAAAATTAAAGGGTTTGGATTCTCGTAAGTCAACAATTTTGGTCTTTGGATTCAGGTTCCAGATTCGAGGGATAGACATGTGAGGGAGGCACCCCTCACATCCCTTCAAAGAAGAGTTGTGCATTGAGTCCATTGGATATTTGTTTGGCTATAAGTAGCTGACTAGAAAGTATAAAAACAAAGGATTGCAGCGAGGGCAGAGCAAACAAAAATATAATGTTGTTGTCCATTGGAAAATTTTTGGCAGGAAAACAAAAAGAAAATAAAGGATAAAAAGACTCAAAATTTACTAAAACTATCAATTTATTATATTAAAAACTTTAGAAGGAGGCAAAAAATGCTTTCGACAATCTTTCTTTATATATCCCTCCTTGCCTATATTAATAGTTACAAACATCTGATTTTAATTTTTCCTTTTTCATTGTGATTTGTACATGAAACTTAGTCTAAAAGACTCTTTGTTTACTACAGCCTAGAGTTTACACCATCTCTTCACAAGCTAGTTTACTAACTCTAAAAGGACAATTTGAGAGAAGCAGCATTAAGCATAAATTTATTTCCTATATTCCTGGTCATACTTCCTAAAGTGAATAAAGAATTACGTAATTTGATTGGGATTGTCATATTTTCGATATTTTTTCTCTTTTCATACTGTTTTCAATGTCAGGATTATATTTATTAGCATTGCCATTTTTGTTCGTAATCTAAATGCAAGAATTGAGCTGCTCAATGATTTGTTCTCTTTGGGTCTCACCAGTCAAAAGTTCCCTATTATATGAGTATGCACTGAGGAGAGCTTTAAGGGTGTGTTTGAGCCACATTATTTTGGAAGAATGTATTTTGAAATAGTAAATTGATGGAAAATGTGTGGTTGAAAAAGAAGGAAAAGTTATTGATGTGCTGAAATATATTATTTTATTGAAGAATGTGAGGTTGAAAATGAGTAGAAAAATAAGAATGAAAATTTTAATGTGGCTCAAACAT